ATCAAAAACAGACTTGTATCCCATCTAGACAATTTTCTATCTCATCTTTTCACTAGAGTACTCAGTACCTTTTTTTTTTTTTTTTTTTCCTTGTACTCAGTACCATTGACAATAGAGAGTTCAAATGGCATATCTTTTAATCATTATAAGAGTGACAATTACACGGTACATCACAAATAAATACAAGCACTTGGAAAATACATTTCTAAAGTTTTGGTGCTCAACAACGGAGTGTTGAGTTTAATGCTAAATTTAGCATATACTCTAGGTCAAAGGCTTTTTATTTTTTTCTTTTTCTTTCTTTGAAAATGAAATAGGGGATGACCACATTTTTCACGAGAGAACAGAAACATTTCAACTAGGTTGGTAGCTCTAGACAAACTCTGGCTCATGATTTGAAAAATCGCAAGTCAAATGAGCCTAAAAACTCAATTAAAAATTAAAAATAAATAAATAAATAAAGCAGTAACAAAGATGCTATGGCGAACCCGTATTTCTGTAAACTAACTATTGTTGCTTGGTAAACTCATAAGGGAAATAGTAGAAAATAGGTCAATATGAAAAGCTTAAGAAAGTATATAGATCAATTTTTAGTTATAGAAATTAATAGGCCATAACTTGTTAAGTGATTCATAACCAGATAAGTTATGGACAAACTTGTCAAGTTATGGTTTATAGCCAGACAAGTTATGGACAAAACCCGTGAATTATGGACAATAGCTTGTCAAGTTATGGTTCATAACCAGACAAGTTATGAACGAAAACTGTAATTTGGCATATTTATTAATTTATGTAAACTATTAGCCTATTAATTTTAATTCATCTCAAGTCTTGGTCTATTTTCCTCTTTCTCCCAACTCATAATTTAAAGTGACAACTAAAATATGACAAGCAATTATGTACAATAGAATCTAGATTTACCAAACTAATTAATTCGACCAATAACATAGTAATTTTTTATGGAAATTACATAGTCATACTGTTGGTCGATCCACATAATAATACATAGACCAGATCTTGTGCATAAAATTAATTTGTAGATAAAGGGGAAAAAGATAGAACAACCATGTGAAAGAATTGCATTAAACACGGAAGGAAAGAAGCATATATATAATTATACTTTCTGTAACCGGAGTGCCTTAAGAGTGGCTACTAATTTAATTTGCGACAAGTCAAAGTTTGGGCGGGGAAAACTTAGATTAATGCACACTTGTATCTGTCTTCTTGTATTGATTATTAATTCACTTCTTTAATTAGCCATGTCAATCACGTGTTTCTAAATATATATATATATATATATATATCTGTGTGTGTGTGGGTCTGTGTATACACGATGGAATGATCAAGATTTATATATTATTAGGCTATGCGATACAACTTAATTTGATTATTACCACAAGTGGTCAATGAATTTACAGATATATATATATAAATATATATATTATCAAAGTGAAGAAACTAAAAAAAAAACAAAACAAAAACAAAACAAAACCTTTCAAGTTCTAAACCTTAATGAAACCCAACTTCACCGAAACACATCTGATGCATTAGCTAACAAATCGATCTTTGACTAATTATGTACAGACGTAAACTAATCAGGCGGCATATTTTAGCACCTTCCACTGTCGGTAAATTCCTCATTGGACCATTATTGTTGGTTACAGAAAAATAAATAGTGATTAGAGAAAAATAATATTGTTTTCGTTGGAAATTACATAGTAATCACAAAAATAACGTACACCGGCCAGATCTTGTGTCAAATTATTTTGTAGGTAAAGGAGAAAAAAGAAAAATAGAACAACCATGTGAAGATCATTCAACAAGGAAGGAAGGAAATATATAATATTTATAATTTCGGTAGCCTTGTATCTGTCTTTTTTTCTTGATTGATTCACTTCCTTTCTTTCTTTCTTTTTTTGAACAGAATGATTTATTCACTTCTATAGCTTATGCCAATCAAGTGTTCATATATATATATATATACATATATATATGTATGTATGTAATTATGTAAATTTAATATAATATAAATATGTATATGTACACACACGACAAACACGTTGGAATCAACACTTATCTCATATGTAATTACGTGCTTCCAATATATATATAAAAGTAATTACCAAGGTATAATAAACTAATTAAGTGACAGATTTTAACACGTTCTACTACCGGTAAATCCGTCATCCAGACTACTATAAAAATACCATGTCGCAAGCTTTAGGCTTCACCACTCCAAAAGGAATTACAAAGTAGTCTCATAAGTCATAAACAATGTCTTCCTCTCATTTGTTCATCTTACTGCTTGGAGTATTTCTGACCACTCAAACTCTTGCCGATTACTATAACCAGGATGCTCCTAATTTTGGGTCACCTACGGTCGTGAACACGCCACCAAAGAATTATTGCTGCACTTTCTTTTCTGAAAGGGGTTATGTAATTATGTACACTAGTGAAAAAAATCAATAAAAAATATTTAGAGAAAAAATTAATAGTTACTTTAATAATCAATCCAAGCCGTTACAAGAGGGAGGTGATCTTCATATTTAAACCGCTCATAAAAGACTAATAACAGTTGAATTTTTTACCACAGACCCACCACGGTAGTCCAAAAAAAGTGTGTTTTTTTAACATAACCTGCATAATCAACCAATTGTATATTCATTCTTGGCATTTCACTTGGGAACTCTGTTTCTTTGATATTAGAATTGGCATAGAGGTTGTCAAAATTGGAAGATATAAATTATCGGGAAAAAAAAAAAGAACGGAGGATATGTCCAGATTTATAGTTATCTAAGTTCACCGCAGATTTAGTTTTATCCCCTCTTTTTAGCTTTACTTTCCCGTTTGAAGTTTGATTGTGTTTAGTGAGTGGAAAAATAGCCAATTATGTATTTACGACCTAACTATTTGTAGCACTAGCATAGTAGGCACCACCACGCCTTTGCTAAAAATGTTATCCATCCTACTGGAGTTTTAACCATGCGTCCTACTAGATTGAGTTCCACCTATTGGAATGAACAGGGATATACTCTGTCTTTGCATATCTTATGAATTTACAAAGTGTATAATCCCACAATCCATCTATGGTTCCGGCCAAATCCATTATCCTAAAAACGTCAAAACGTAAAACATAAAATGGTAAATTGTAAGGGACGATATGGTCAAAAAATTGCATACGTCAATGGGTCGATGTGTATTTATCTGTATGTTTATGATATATATATATATATATATGTGTGTGTGTGTGTGTGTGTGTACACGGTTTGGCTTATATATATATATGTATATATATGTATGTGTACATGTATTCGTCATATACACGATAGAATGATCAACATTTATATATTTAGGCTTGCGATTTAAGTTAATTTGATTATAATCACAAGTGATCAAAAGAATTTGCAGATATATATATATATATATATATAATGATGCTTTATCAAAGTGAATAAACTAAAGTGATAAAATTATTCAGATAAGATCTTCCTAATAAAATAAAATAACAACGAAAATTTTGGAACCACGTAGCCTAAAAATATAAAAAACTTCAGGTTCTAATCCTGAACCCAAATCTAGCGAAACACATCTCATGCATAAGCTAACAAATCGTTATTTGACTAATTATGTACAGACGTAGGTATAAACTAATTGACATATTTTACCACCTTCCGCAGTCGGTAAATTCGCCATCGGACCACTATAAAAAGACCATATCCCAAGCAATAGGCTTCACCAATCCAAAGGGAACAAAGCTAGTGCCACAAACAATGTCTTCCTCTAATTTGATCATCATACTGCTTGGAGTACTTCTCGCCACTCAAACACTTACCGATTACTATTAGCCAGAGCATGCACATAAGCCAGAGGCTCCATATGGCAAGTCACCTCCGCTCGTGAAGCCACCACTAACCACAGTGTATCCGACCCCTCCACTACAACATGGAGAGAAGCCTAATTCCCCACCAACCACAGTGTATCTGAACCTCCTCCACATATGGGGAGAATCCTAATCGGTCACTAACCTTGGTGTATGCAAACCCTCCACAACACGAAGAGAAGCGTAATCCGCCACCAATCCTGGTGTATGTGAACTCTCCACAACATGGGCAGAAGCCTGATTTGCCACCAACTCTGATGTATTAGAACCGTCCACAACACAGTGAAAGCCTAATTCACTACCAACCCCAGTGTATCTGAACCCTCCACAACACGGCGAGAAACCTAATTCGCCACCAACCAAGGTGTCTCCAAACCCTCCGCAATAAAGAGAGAAGTCTAATCCCCCACCAAGCTCGATGTATCTGAGCCCTCCACAACACAGTGAAAAGCTGAATTCACCACCAACCCCAGTGTATGTGAACCCCCCACAATGCAGTGCGAAGCCTAATTCGCCACCAACCCCGGTGTATCTGAACCCTCCACAACACGGGGCGAAGCCTAATTCGCTACCCACCCTAGTGTATCTGAACCCTCCACAACACGGCGAGAAACCTAATTCGCCACCAACCATGGTGTCTCCAAACCCTCCGCAATAAAGAGAGAAGTCTAATCCCCCACCAAGCTTGATGTATCTGAGCCCTCCACAACACAGTGAAAAGCTGAATTCACCACCAACCCCAGTGTATGTGAACCCCCCACAATACAGGGCGAAGCCTAATTCGCCACCAACCCCGGTGTATCTGAACCCTCCACAACACGGTAAGAAACCTAATTCGCCACCAACCATGGTGTCTCCAAACCCTCCGCAATAAAGAGAGAAGTCTAATCCCCCACCAAGCTTGATGTATCTGAGCCCTCCACAACACAGTGAAAAGCTGAATTCACCACCAACCCCAGTGTATGTGAACCCCCCACAATACAGGGCGAAGCCTAATTCGCCACCAACCCCGGTGTATCTGAACCCTCCACAACACGGTAAGAAACCTAATTCGCCACCAACCATGGTGTCTCCAAACCCTCCGCAATAAAGAGAGAAGTCTAATCCCCCACCAAGCTTGATGTATCTGAGCCCTCCACAACACAGTGAAAAGCTGAATTCACCACCAACCCCAGTGTATGTGAACCCCCCACAATACAGTGCGAAGCCTAATTCGCCACCAACCCTGGTGTATCTGAACCCTCCACAACACGGGGCGAAGCCTAATTCGCTACCAACCCAGACCCCTCCACAACATGGGGGAAAGCCTAATCTGCCATCAACCCAGATGTACAAGAACCCTCCACAAATAGAGAAACCTGAGTTGGTCCCAACTCACCCTCCTTATGGAGAGAAGCCTAGGCCCAAACCAAAACCGCAATCTCCAACTCAACCACGTAACGTGACGAAGTCACCATATGTAAAACCACTGATATCCTCACCACCAGTGCACAAGCCGCTGCCTAATGGTCAGTACCCAGGACAATCCATCCGAACTGATGAAATGAGATCATGGTATTAATATGGGAATAGGCCGATAATAGTTTTCCACGTTCCAGAAATAAGAGTTCTTTATGACTCACGCCATTTATTCGTGTGCTCTTATATGATATATGTAGATGACTAATAGGATCATATTTGTTCTTGATTACTTTTTGTAGTTACTTAACTAATCACTTCAGGGTTCTTTTTGAAAAAAAAAAAAAGGACAGCGGATGACTTACTCGGCTCAAATTTATTAATAAGAAAAAAATAATAACGAAAATGAAAAATAAAAAATCAGCCACAATTACTAACTAAATGAGAAAATACAGGAAAAAAAAGATATAATAACAAGTAAGAACCCCATGGAAAAGAGTAATGAAAAGAACTAGATGTGACATGAGCGAATCCGATTTATTTACGCAAATTTGAGACCCCTTTCACTTCAAACACAGAGCAAAGTCAGGTTTCTTTCCAGTATTAGGAATCACAACTTTACGTATAATCCACCAGTTTATCCCAAGACTGTGAAACGCTCTATTTCTCTCTAATTCCTTGCACAGTTGTCAAGTTGCTCGCAATATCGATGACAAATGTACAAAGTGATACTAGGTAATGCCTCATTGTTGACTTCAAGAGAAATGAAACTGTAACTAAAAATTGGTCCAGTCCTATTGACTTGCTTTCTTGAAATAATTGGAGTAAAAATTTTTGCAAAATGGTTTTTACGTTTTCCAATAAATTAATTTTCAAAATCGAACAATACTTTAATACTCCGGGTAAATAAATATTTACCAGCAAATATGTTATATATTTAAAACCCATTTCTAAAATTTTCTATTAGCCTCTTTCTCCCTATTTTTTTTTTTCCCTTTTGAATATCTAATTATCTACCCTTCATTCAATGTAATTTCATCTATATATTATGAAAAAAAATAATGACTTTTGTTTAAAAAGTAAAACAAACAAAATAAATTATGTATAATTTAATTTGACATCCCCAAGGAATTATTACATGCCCTTTCTGTTTTGAAAGGGGATGTGAAGATATGTACACTAGTGAAAAAAATTAATAAATAAGAAATTCATAGAGAAAAGACAAACAGAGTTACTTAAATAAACAATCAAAGTCATCATCACTAGAGGGAGGAGATCTTGCTATGTTCTTAGGGATAATAGTTGGACTTTGGTTTAAAGTAAAAGCTTTTCAGTTTATGTTTTTAATTTTGAGGGTTATATATAAATTTAGTATCAAATACATCTATATAAGTGTAAAAACAAAGTTAGGGCGCTTAAGCTCTTTGTGGCTCCGTCTTTGTGGACATTCCATTTGTATTTAGAATTTTGCGTATGAGAACCTTTTTTGGATTAATCCTTGTAGGAATTTTTCTGTTTGAATGAAGTACTAACAAAATAAACCAAAAGATAATAATCTAAGTAGCTTTGTAGTGCACGTCTAACTTCTTTCATGGATTAAGAAAAATCAGTAAGAATTTTTCTTGTTTGATGCTATGTTGTAAGGTTGGCATGCATGAAGGACCGGAGTGGGATAGTAGGGTCGATTCAACACCGGGTGCCATCCGGCAAAGCACGGATGCCATCCGGCAAAGCACGGATGCCAAGGCGGAGGCTTTGACTCATTCAAGAAGATCCCGTTGCCGTGGATATGGAATGGATGCGTAGAGGTTTTGCTTTTCCGGTTGGATTTGGGAAAGCAATACTGAACCATATTGTTATGGAGAAGGATATTGGGAAAATCTTCACATGCTTCAGGAGATGAGTAATTAGTAGCCTTTATTCAAAGTCACGATTTATTTGGTTGTGATGGCCTTAGCCATAGGAAACCCAAGAAATATTGCTGCTCTGAATGATAACCTTCTTGTCTCAGAATAGCTTTCAGATCACATGGATTCTGAGTTTTTGTTTTTTCTTTTAAACATATTTTTTGAGATAGCTGACTTTCGGTAAAATTATTAATTTTTATTTTTGTTTTCCGTTATAATAATAATGAGTTTCTTTGAATAAGAAGCGAATTATATATTTCAACTATATAAGAGCAATTATTAACATAAGAAATTATTTCAAGAAATTACAACATAAGATCAATTATTTCAAGAGATGCTGCTCTGAATAATTAGTATAAGCTTCTTGTGTCGGGGAACCCTTTCTTGTACTTAAAGAGCAATTATTTCTTATAGTAAATGTGACGTTTCAATTTTTGTTATTACATCATTTTCTTCTGTCTTTTTATTATCTTCTTTTTTAATATTTTCTTTGCCTTTTGTTTAAGAAACGACTTTGATTTTATACTATAAGCAGCATGTCGTTTTGGAAATAAACGACATGCTTTTTCATTTATAAAGAGTATTTTTGTCAACAACAAAACAATCATGGAGATATAGAGTACATGTCGTTTACTTGTTGAAGAGAAAACGACATTGAAAGTAAAAATGACAAATCCTTAAAATTATTTATCTATTATAGAAACTTTTTTTTTTGGTTGTTTTTTGTAAAATAGATTAAACAACATAAAGTTGGAACTCTTAAGTCGTTAATGGTAGAACAAGCTGGACTTAAAATTGGGTAATTGGTACTATTAGTCTCGAATTTTGAACACCTGAATTTTTAAGGGGAATTTTAAAAATGTCATCAATAAAGTAATACTATTTTATTTCTGTCACTTTTGTTAAATTTAACTTACATCACTAATAACTTGTAGGTTATCTTTCGTAACCTGCAAATAATTATCATTCATAATCTTCAGGTTGCCACTATGTATCCTACAGGTTAATTTTTTGTAGTGGTATCAAAATTTGATGTAGTTGGATAAATAATAGAGTTAAAAAACATCATTGTTAAATTTGAAATTTTTTAAATTTTAAATTTTGACAATTATTCACGAACTATTGATTATTGACAGTTCTGATGCCTAACACTAAATTTGATAATTGATTTATGAGAATTAACAAAGATAATCATGTACTCATCAAGTGATAAATTAAATTTTTTGAATTACGATACATACAAAATTTTTATAGTCTCTAAACTTTTTATCCATTAAAATTAATAGAAGTTTTCTTGAGAAAAAGGAGATCATATGAAAAATGATATATCGTTTTCTTCTCCATATAATGTATATAAAAGAAAACAAAGTCATGGCGAAGTAAAAGCTTATTTTGTCCGCCTTGAAAGTTCTCTATAGTATCATTACGACCAATTGCTACTAGTCATCCAGGCTCAAAGCATCCAAGTGAAGTTACTGTTCACGACGGAGTTACAATTCAAGTATATTGTACTAGTCACATATACAGTTATGTTCACGGTGTGAATAAGTAAGGAGTAAGTAGGTTCTATCTAGGTTGCTGGAACTTAAATGGTCTACTTGAGACCCTCTATGCCTTTTCTAGGAACTTGCTTAGTAAGGTGGTTCTATTTAGCAAGCTGTCTGAATCTATCCTTTGTTGATAGAACTGGTGTATTCATTTACAGTTTTTCCTGAGAATTACCTAGTCGGTACAGTTACTATACAAGTATTGTTCATAGCTGTAGTGAAACGGTGCGAGTTAAGCAAATCATGAAATGGTTGAAAAATTCAAAATAGAGAAGTTCAATGAAAGCAATTTCACGTTGTGAAAAATGAAGATGCAGGCAATTTTAAGAAAGGATAATTGTCTGACTGCACTTGGAGAAAGACCGCAAGAAATTAAGGATGATGGCAAGTGGAATGAGATGGATGGTAATGTTATTGCCAATTTGAACTTGGCATTAGCAGAGTAGGCTCTATCAAGTATCGCAAAGAAGAAAACAACGAAAGAAATTTGAGATACTTTGACGAAGTTGTACGAGACCAAGTTAGTCCCCAATAAGATCTTCTTAAAGAGAAGATTGGACACTCATCGACGTGCAGAATCCACATCAGTGACCGACCATATCAACACTCTGAATACTCTATTTTCTTAGCTCACGTCGTTGGGTCACAAAGTAGAGGCAGGTGAACGTGCATAGATTCTACTTCAAACTCTACCTAATTCATATGATCAACTCATCATTAACCTAACCAACAATATCCTCACAGATCATATAGTCTTCGACGATGTTGTAGCCACAATTCTAGAAGAAGAAAGCTGACAGAAGAATAAGGAAGATAGGTTGGTAAGCATACAGTAGTTAGAATCTTTGAAGATGATAAGAGAGAGATCAATGAAACGTGGCCCTAGTGGGAGTCAAAGTCATGGTAGATCAAAATCTAGAAGTAAGAAAAAGAACATGAGATGTCACAACTGTGGCAAGAAGGGGCACTTCAAGAAAGAGTGTAAGGGTAAGAAAAGTGAGGAGAAGAATTCTAAAGGAAATGTGGCAAGTACCTTAGATGATGGTGACGTCTTATACAGCGAGGCAACAACAATTGTTGAAGGCAGACAGAAGCTCATTGATGCATGGATACTAGATTCAAGGGCATAATGGCACATGACAGCTAGGACAAAATGGTTTCATCAATATGAACCAATCTCGAGAGGACTAGTGTACATGGAAAATGATCATCCCTTAGAGATCGTTGGCATCGACACTATCAAACTGAAGATGTACGATATTGGTACTATTCATACTATACAGAAGGTACGCATGTGAAGGGCTTGAAGAAAAATCTATTGTCTCTAGAACAAATAGATAATACAGGGTGCATGACTCACATTGAAAATGAGATCATGAAAATTGTTAAAGGTGCGCTTGTAGTAATGAAGGGAGAAAAAAAAGTTGCTGCAAATCTGTACATGCTTTTGGGAGAAACACACCAAGAAGGAGAGTCATTTGTTGCATCGACGAGTTCAAGAGAAGAATCAATGATAATGTCGCATTAGAGGCTCGGTCATATGTCGAAACGAGATTTGTTGATTCTCTATAAACATAAACTACTCCTTGGGCTCAGCTCAGTAAAATTATTGTTTTATAAGCATTGTGTTACAAGTAAGTAGCACAAGTTAAGGTTCAACAAATCTAAAGTTAATAGCAATGACATCTTAGAATTGATCCACTCTGATGTTTGTCAAGCACCGGTATCATCCCTCAGAGGGGCGAGATACTTTGTATCTTTCATTTATGATTACTTCAGGCGATGTTGGGTGTATCCAATCAAAAGGAAAGTGGATATTTTTGAAGTCTTCAATGTTTTCAAAGTGTGGGTGGCACTTGAATCTCAAAAGAATATCAAGTGTCTAAGAACTGATAATGGAGGAGAATAGACAAAGGATGAGTTTGATGCATTCCGTCAATAAGAACACATCAAGAGACAATTCACAGCGGCATACGCTCCTCAACAAAATGGAGTGGCAGAGCAGATGAACAGGATGAGAGCAATATTAAGGACTGCAGGTCTAGCCAAGTCGTTTTGGGCATAAGTAGTCAAAATTGCCTGTTACATAATTAATCGGTCTCCGTCAAATGCAATAGGTTTGAAAACACTGATGGAGATGTAGACTGGTAAGCCATCTGATTATTCTCAGTTACATACATTGGGAAGTCCTGTGTACGTCATGTATAATGACCAAGAAAGATTGAAGTTGGATCTGAAATCCAAAAAGCGTATCTTCTTGGGGTATGCTGATGGTGTTAAGGGATATAAATTATGGGATCCCACTGCCCACAAAAATTTCATCAGTAAAGATGTCATATTTGCAGAGAATAAATTGCAAGAGAAAAGAGATGATAACACTTCAAAGGAGAAGTCAGAGACTACTACGATTTAGGTGGAAGATAAGCCAAATGAAGATCTAGTTTCTTCTGAGGTAGCAGCAAAGCACGAAGATAAAAAACAAGTCGAGTCTGAAGCTTCCAAAGTTCACCGGTCAACTCATGAGAAAAGACCACCTGTTTGGCATTCAGATTATGTTACTGAGAGCAATGTTGCATACTGTCTTTTAACAAAGGACGGAGAGCCATCAACTTTCCAGGAGACAATCAAAAGCCAAGATGTATCCCTGTGGATTGCTACAATGCAGGAAGAAATCAAAGCCTTACATAAGAACAAGATGTGGGATATTATTTCGCTACCATGAGGAAGGAAGGCCATAAAAAATAATTGGGTTTATAAGAACAAACACGATGGTAATGACCAAGTGGAGCGATTCCTTGCAAGATTAATAGTGAAAGGATATGCTCAGAAAGAAGATACTAACTTCAATGAAATATTTTCACATGTGATTCGAATCATTACAGTTGGAGTAGTTTTGGTGATGTGTACTACATTTAACTTACATCTAGAGCAGCTAGATGTGAAAACTACTTTTCTTCAAGGAGATCTTGAAGAAGAGATTTATATACTCCAACCAGAAGGCTTTGCAGAAGCAGGTAAAGAGAACTTGGTTTGCAGGTTAAACAAATCTTTGTATGGTCTCAAACAGACACTGAGGTGTTAGTACAAGAGATTTGATTCCTATATCATGAGCCTTAGGTACAACACTCAGTGCAGACCTTTATGTGTATTTCAAGAAGTTTGGTGATGGAGATTTCATCATTTTGCTGTTGTATGTGGACGACATGTCACGGGCCCTAACAAAATCGAGTCCAAGAATTGAAGGCACAGTTGGCTAGGAAATTTGATGTGAAGGACTTGGGATCAACAAATAAGATTCTAGGGATACAAATTCACCGAGACAGAAATAATGCGAAGATTTGGCATTCTCAGA